AGCTGAACATGGCAGGTTCAACATATGACCAGTTCAGGACCCGCTTCAGCTGAACATCGTCTTTGCAGGGTGCGCTTCAGCTGAACATAGCGAGTTCAGGACCCGCTTCAGCTGAACATGGTATTTGCAGGTTGCGCTTCAGCTGAACATGGTCTTTTCAGGGTGTGCTTCAGCTGAACATGACCACTAAACCATGATCTAGTTTGGAATCCCCACATGGGTACAACGTGCGAAGCCCATTTGACCCCTCACCATTATACAGCCGACATATTTGTAATGCGGAGTAAAGCCACACCCACTCTCCCACTCACTCATATGTGTATAGGTTCCAGTTGGTCACGATAAGGATATGCTGTGTATAAATACACGGACTACGAGGACATGACAGTGTAAACGAGCGTATATCCCAATACTGACAGGAACATAGAAAGCATTTGTTATAAGACAATATCATTACACGGTGAGGGAAACGTTATGGGATACAGACAAAGTGCCAGTATGAATGTTTTCCGATATCAAAGTATTTAACACGTATTCCACGCTAAGTACGGATACAGAAGGATATATACCGCGGTTCTCACTGGATATATATCGCGGTTCGTTGGTGAGATTTGTTGAAGACCACCTTCGTGGTAAAGTTGACAGAACCCCTGCCCACAGAGCGGAAGGTGCGCGGTTCGATCCCCGGCTGGTACATACCATGGTTAACAGATGATGTTGTTGGCCTGTCTGGCACTGTCAAGAACTGGTCACCTCAGATGCAGAACTCGGGTCCTGTCACTGCATCTCGCTAACTCTTAAACCATCGGGCCACCGAGGCCCCATAATGTGCTTGAGTGAGTGAGTTTAGTTTTACACCGCACTCAGCAATATTCCAGCTATATGGCGGCGGTCTGTTAATAATCGAGTCTGGACCAGACAATGCAGTGATCAACAACATGAGCATTGCTATACGCAACTGGGATACGATGACGTGTCAACCAAGTCAGCGAGCCTCACCATCCGATCGTCTCTTACGACAAGCATGGGTTGCTGAAGATCAATTCTAACCCGGATCTTCACGGGTCTAATGTGCTTGAGGGAGAGGCAAAGTATAGTGACACGGGCCTCCATTGGCATCCACGAGCCGAGGCAGGCTGGAGAGCTGGACTGGACGACAATTCAATCAAACAGGTATTGCAATGCCAATGAAAAATGCATGTTGAAATATTTGTGGTAAAAATGTCTGCCCACCTGTGTGAACGCACCATGGCGTCAGTGTCTGAGAACTGACACGCGAAAATCTAGTTAAAGTGAACGTTTTAGAACCCTGTAAACCTCCATGGACAGTATTTGACCCTAATTGAGCAGCGGGGGATAAAACATTAATAAGAGTTAATTAATCGAATCGTGTTTGATCAAACATTGTATTTATTGAATTATGATACCGGGCGGCCTGATAGTAATGAAAGAGTTCCGTGTGCGTGGATCTCCGTGTCATCAATCAGACAGCAGACGTGTTTTATGAACATTAATTACACGCGGTTTTCCTCCCGTGCACAGAGCAGACAATCGCGACATCGGTGACGTCATGACCAGGCAGGATCCAATGACATGGCTGTTTGAATAGCACGCGTTCCATTGTGTTGTCTGTGCAGATGTCGCCTGCATGGGTCATCTGGGCCATTGGAGGAGGGGGTCACTAACAACAACATCTGACAGCAAGTAGTATGCAATCATTTTAATATCATATCCTGAATAAGATCCGGTTTGGCACCGAGTTGTTATAAATCATTATAGTATTTACAGGAATAAGTATTGTTACAGCATATTGCAGGTTGTTAATGAGTTCTCACCGCCCTGTCCCATCACATGCACACATGCAGGCTACGCAGGTGGTGGGGGTTTATATAAATTATGCACCTATGTGGGAAAGAGATTGTAAAGACGTACAAATGCACAAATTTGACAAGACAAAAGCGAGGGTCATTACTTTCTGTCCACCAACCCACCCACACTGTTGTTACTGTGATGTGTAGAGCTGGCTTTTACTACAAGATAGAAACCTATAACATGGTTATGGCTGTGTATGGATATCCGGCAAGTGTCCACTAGTAGTTTATTTCGTATTTTAACAACGTCAAATGATGAACTCATTCCGTAGTAGAGAGGCGATATATACCATCAGTAGAAACCGTTACATTCTGAACTGAAGTGTTTGGTCAGTGACTGTATCGTCTCATCCTCTGTTGTAGTCTTAGCTGCTAGTTGTTTGTTTAAACATCTTCAGTATTAAGAAAGTAAGAATATTTATGGATAACAACTTCTTTATTATATATGATGCGACGTTTCGGTATGGATTCTTATACCGTTGTCAAGCAAGAGTGAAGTACTACAGCACAGACCAGGCTTATATACATGAACAGGGATTAAGTAATAACAACATGTAGGACTGAATGAGGGGGATTAACAATAACAACAAGGCACGGTGGCCATAATGTAGTGACAATAGGAAGCCAATGGTGGTTGATGTAAAAACAAAATATACATGCTGATGAGATTAATTAACAATGATGGCTGAGGTGTTGCTCTAATCTGTTGTTTTATGAGATCATTGTATGCAGAAGGGATGAGATATCCCTGGTCTCTGTTGATTGAGGGCTTGTGTCTCCGGATTTGAACTGCTTCTGCAAGTTTCCTTTTTGGTGAAGTCCTGGTGGTTTTGGATAATATGTCACATTGTCCCAAATTATGTTGTGATTGGGGCAGTTGATGATGTGGTCTGATAATGCCGATTTTCTATCAGATTTAGTGGTAGATGATAAGTGTTCTTTGATTCGGATATTTATGGGCCGGGAGGTTTCGCCTACATAGGCCTCGCCACAGTCACAGTTGATTTTATAGACAACACCTTTGGGTTGATGTTGTCGTTTAGAGGTGTTCCTGCCATTCGCTTTCAGTAGGGTTTTTAGTGGTGTAGAGCTGGTAAAGTAGGTTTCGATGCCTGCTTCTCGCTTCTCCCCTTTCCTCCACCAGTCCCACTACAGAAATACAGCACCTCCGCCATGTTTTCACCAAGTTCAACCACTACCCGTCGAAACTAGTCGATAAAATTATCAGCACCACACTCCACCCAACAAGAAAACCGGCCTCCAACAAACCTGAACCAGCACCTATTCGTATCTCCTCCCCTTCATAGGAAAACCTCTCACCACATCAGCCGTCTCCTCAAGCGAAGCAGGCATCGAAACCTACTTTACCAGCTCTACACCACTAAAACCCTACTGAAAGCGAATGGCAGGAACACCTCTAAACGACAACATCAACCCAAAGGTGTTGTCTATAAAATCAACTGTGACTGTGGCGAGGCCTATGTATGGCGAAACCTCCCGGCCCATAAATATCCGAATCAAAGAACACTTATCATCTACCACTAAATCTGATAGAAAATCGGCATTATCAGACCACATCATCAACTGCCCCAATCACAACATAATTTGGGACAATGTGGACATATTATCCAAAACCACCAGGACTTCACCAAAAGGAAACTACGCAAAAATCTAGTTAAAGTGAACGTTTTAGAACCCTGTAAACCTCCATGGACAGTATTTGACCCTAATTGAGCAGCGGGGATAAAACATTAATAAGAGTTAATTAATCGAATCGTGTTTGATCAAACATTGTATTTATTGAATTATGATACCGGGCGGCCTGATAGTAATGAAAGAGTTCCGTGTGCGTGGATCTCCGTGTCATCAATCAGACAGCAGACGTGTTTTATGAACATTAATTACACGCGGTTTTCCTCCCGTGCACAGAGCAGACAATCGCGACATCGGTGACGTCATGACCAGGCAGGATCCAATGACATGGCTGTTTGAATAGCACGCGTTCCATTGTGTTGTCTGTGCAGATGTCGCCTGCATGGGTCATCTGGGCCATTGGAGGAGGGGGTCACTAACAACATCTGACAGCAAGTAGTATGCAATCATTTTAATATCATATCCTGAATTAGATCCGGTTTGGCACAGAGTTGTTATAAATCATTATAGTATTTACAGGAATAAGTATTGTTACAGCATATTGCAGGTTGTTAATGAGTTCTCACCGCCCTGTCCCATCACATGCACACATGCAGGCTACGCAGGTGGTGGTTTAAATAATGCACCTATGTGGTAAAGAGACGTACAAATGCACAAATTTGACAAGCCAAAAGCGAGGGTCATTACTTTCTGTCCACCAACCCACCCACACTGTTGTTACTGTGATGTGTAGAGCTGGCTTTTACTACAAGATAGAAACCTATAACATGGTTATGGCTGTGTATGGATATCCGGCAAGTGTCCACTAGTAGTTTATTTCGTATTTTAACAACGTCAAATGATGAACTCATTCCGTAGTAGAGAGGCGATATATACCATCAGTAGAAACCGTTACATTCTGAACTGAAGTGTTTGGTCAGTGACTGTATCGTCTCATCCTCTGTTGTAGTCTTAGCTGCTAGTTGTTTGTTTAAACATCTTCAGTATTGAAAGGGATTGGGCACAAGTTATTCAACTTATTAAAGCCCGCTCCCGAAATTATATGGAGAAAATAGCCTACATGTAATGGACAATGAACAGAGGAGGTAGGTGAGGTGAAACGGGGTTTAACGTCGTGCTTGAGAATATTCCGCTCATATGACGACGTGCATGCATGCGTGTGTATGTGTGGCTGTTTGTACTAGCCCAGACTTAAGCTGGTTTTATAGTGCTAGCTCACTGAGATACCATGCCGCAGTGAAGCATGAATACCCCACTCATATACATTATACTGACTCCGAGCCGACCAGTCCTTGTTATGTCCATTAATGCTGAGCGCCAGGGACCAGGCAGGGACCAACAAGTTCCATATTTTAACGTCTTTTGGTATGACGCGGCCGGGGATCGAACTCGCGATCTCTCTGGGCGGATGCTCTAACCACTACACCCACCATGGCGGCGGCCAATGATCAGAGGCAAGACATATTACACATTAACTGAAACGCTTACTACGTACAATGAATTTATGAACTTGACTAAAAATATTTTCATTTAGAGTTTGTGGCAGACTAAGACAGAATGGTGTTAATATCTAAGCTAACTTTTAGGATTTCAAAGCACTTGTATCAAATCAAACCGGCAGCTGACATACTTTGGACATTCTAACTAAGCTACGTATATCTCGCCTCTAAACTCTAACTTGAAAGTAGTCTGTGAGTGTTCTGTAAATGGTCTGCAACAGGGGATATATAGCATATTGTGTGATTACAGCCTTATTACAGAGCCAAAAATACTGATCGATTGTATTTACCCCAAGTAAAACCCTAGAAGCAAAGCAATATTTTTACTGTTTCTAGAAATAAAAATAAATATGAACCATATAGCATTCTGATAGTGATATTCCATTGGACCCATGAATGATGAAAAGAAGCAGAATTTCAGAATAAGTGGCCTGGCGAGTGATATGCAAATAAATACTTCAACTGAGATCGTTTCCTCTGTTCATCAAAACAGGGACGTTTCATCAGCTGTTCCCGAGGTCCACGTGCAACTACCCAACATGTGACCCCATCAACATGTTCCATCTCCAGACTTCCATCCCCAGCCGGACCATCTCCTTGTGGTGCCAGTGATTCGGTCTGCGCTGTCCCCGGCACAGGCAGCTACAAAGAGAACGTTCTGTGTAAAATAACTCATAATATTGCCTTTTTCATAACTCTCCATGTACAGAATTCCAAATCCCAAACCTGACATCCCAGTACAAATGATAATATGGTCAATTTATAATCGAGTTGCCGAAAATGGAGTCCAGATTCAAAGTGACGCTATTTAAAAAAATCAAATACCCGTCTTTAACGCGCCTGCGATATTGAATTGCTGTCAGACGATAGAGGCCGTCCGTGCTGGGCCTGGCTGTATTAGGAGTCGGTAATCTCATTGTGGACATCAATATTTGGCCACTTCGGCCTTAATAGGATACAAGTTAATATCATCACTTTCTGTCGCCCGGTCATTCGACACAGCTTCTGTGAAAACGGCATTGAATCAGATCTTCAGTAACAACAAGCGGAAATGCGAACCGAGTAAACGACGACTCATCAACTAATTTGTACAAACGTCCCCGCTTTCGGACAGTCACGTGTGTTGACACAGACCGCCAGGTTGCACGTGCTTTGTACTCCTCACATTGCTGACTGGTGGAAGGAGCTTCTTGGATGTAATTCTTGAAATGAAAATAATGTCCGTATTACAATATTCATACGACTTATTGAGTGAGTGAGTATGGTTTTACGCCGCATTTAGCACTGTTTCAGCAATATCACGGCGGGGGACACCAGAAATGGGCTTCACACATTGTATCCATGTGGGGAATCGAACCCAGGTCTTCGGAGTGACGAGCGAACGTTTTATCCACTAGGCTGCCCCACCGTCCCCATACGACTGAAAGAGTGAGTGAGTGAGTGTGGTTTTGTACCGCTTTTAGCAATATTCCAGTAATATCACGGCGGGGATTCGAACCTGGGTTTTAGGCGTAAGCAAGCGAACACATTAACCACACAAAGATAACCCACTGCCACGATGACAGGAGATTGTCAAAGCAGTACATCAGGGTATTTCAGTATTTCACGTTCAATGTATGTGATACATTTGTTGTGTCTTAGTGAGGAATGTGCAACGTTTCTCGTCCAGGAGTTTCTATATAACTGGATTGGATTGTGATGTGCGTGCGCGTGCGTGAGGTGTGATGTTGTATGTGTGTGACATAAGGTGATGTGTCCATAATGGTTGTGTGAAATATGTGATGGTTGTGTGTGTAATATGTTGTGCTGTTTGCATGATAGTTTATGTGTGGTGTAAGCGTAAGATTTATCTGTTGTGCCAGGTGTGATGTTGTGCGTGACAACACATGACATGTAAAAGTATCGGTTGTAACAAGCATCATCTTGTATTACCGATGTCCACGGAGGGGTTGGCGACTCACGAGAAACAGTTGTTACTAAAATACGTCCAGGTGGATCCCGTGTCCGGGCAGTCGGCCATGCCAGGGGGTGAGTTACGTTGACATGTACATGATATAACTGCTCGCGGCACGAGCATCGCTCCCCCCAGACACAGCTCAGGCAGATACTCTCTTTCCCTCGCAGCATCGTTCCCACGGTCCCCTTTCCATCACCTGGATCACGTGACCTTGGGCAGACGCTCGCACCCACCTGGACTATATCATACATTCGCCAGAACATTGTCGTAAATGAATTTGTGAATCGTTGGGATTTATACACTGGGGCGATGTGAACAAACAACAGCAGCTGTACATGACAACATAAATTGTGGCTGTTATAGCGACAACATCCGCGTTATGTTGTTACATTTACATATTACGTACACTAATGTCTGACACGGATATCAGGGGAATACTTCGGAAAGAGATTTTGGAAAATGAAATAAGGTCACATATAATGTTGTTTGTGCAAAATAACACGGACACAGCAGTACGTAAACTAACCTTGACGTCACGGTCACCATGACAACAAAACGAAAATAATCTACCAACATTAATCTTTTTGTTGTTGGGCGTAAATTTGATAAAATGCTGTACATTTTAATTTACTATCGTACATACAAATATATATTTTTATTTGCTAAAGTATCCAGAAAGAGTTTCAGAAAGACGCATACCCGATCCGTGATTTCGCGGAGTAATATATTTTGTAGGTTTGAACAAATACGAGTTAAAAGTAACACCAGTAAACATTCAAGTAGAATGCCTACATTTGATCCTCAAAGTAGAATATAGAAGTAAATAAGGAGCGATATAGAAAGTGTTGAATGCAAATATATTCTTTTTGTTGTTTCACCTGTGAAGAATTAATCTCGTTTATGTCATAGTCATAACACAACCCCGGGACATCTTCACAGCTGTTTTCAAGTTGTTATTGGAAATCTACTCCTATCTAACCTATTCACAATAGTATCTGAGTGACAATATCAATTCTTGACATTCAACTGTCAGCTGTTGTCTGTAGATGTTCCTGTGTAACCGTTGTGTATGAAGGTAGGTTGGTACGGAGTTTGTGGGTAACAAGAGAGTGTATCCTGTCTCATGTCGCGTGACTCCCGTCTCTAGGGACGACACATACCGTTGCTATGTTGCGGTATTCCACCAGCACGTGCTGGCGCGTGAGAAGCACGTGTCGCGTGCTGACAACACGCACAGTATCGTCTGCAGCATCAGCCTTGATCAAGTTTCAAGCAGCTCTTCGCCGATCAGCACGCCGTCACGCTCTTCCAGGCCATAACACTTCCACCGCGCGCTACAACAATCTTTAACTTGTTTCAAGTTTACGAAGTGCAATGTAAGTTTGCCTAGTCACCCTGACCGACGTTGGAGGTGCACCCCTCACCGGAGCTCGCGGCTGACCAGTGTTTACCGGACGCTTCCTTGCCCCTCCCTCCGCTAGCGGCGGCTCAGCTCGTGCAATAACGCGATTGAACACAGCGAGTGCCAGCCCCTTTAATTGAACGTCCGAGCATGCGCACACTACAACTGACTAAAAATACTAGCATCTGTCGGTCGCTATACTTTCCCACACCATAAGGTAGTCGAAACACTTTTTGTACAAGTTTCCGACACTGGCTAACTCTCTGAGGGGATGTCATTTTGCATTCTTTTCAGCAGCGGTGAATTGTTTTTGCCGCTTTGTGAAGATGGGTGAAAAGTGATATTTGAAACGAGTTTCAGGGTAGGAATGTTTGCGAGCACAAGCGTGGGGCCAACTTGTGTACTGTCTCAAGGGCTGGAACAGGTATGCTTTGGAAAGCATAGTAAAGTGGAACGTCTACAACGACTACTGCAGACTTGGCCTTTAAACTATGTTTTATCTCCACTGTTGCACTGTCGTGGTCGTCGTCGTTGTCGTGATGCAAGTGTGTTCGGGGTCGGGAGTGTTCGAACTGGGTATCCTCTCTGTCAACAATCCCAGGGGGGAGCTCGCCAGCGGGGTGTGTTGTTCGGGGGGTAGGGGGAGAGATGGTGTGTGCAGCACCCCTTGCAAGACCCAGTTCAGAGCCTGTCTCAAGGAATACCAATCCCGGGTGACCCCCGATGGGACATGTACGTTCGGGAATGTGTCCAGCCTTGTCCACCACGGAAATTCCTTCACCCTCCCGGAAGGTACAGGCAATACTCTGGAATTACCCTTTAACTTCGCTTGGACCGTAAGTACCCACTTATTATATTTTATTTCACTTTTATTTCAATGTACTCTCTCGCACGGAACGACGCTGACAACTAGAATGACTACGAACAGCTATAACAATGTGTTTCTTGTAGAGAAGTGTGATTTTCTTGGCAGCTGAGCGTGTGTTGCAGAAGGTGGTTGTTCAGAGTGTTCGGCTCTCATGCCAACTTTTCGCTCTAAGGTTCATTGTTATTACGTCACCATTGGCCTATATACAGGCCTATTTATTTGGTTTACCTCGGGAAAGCCTCGCAACGTGCACACACGAGAGTTAAGACGTGTATTTACCCTGCACGTGGGTATCACCTACCCACAAGAATCCTATCTTGTCATTCCTTACGGGTAGAAGGCGTGTCGATGTTATATAGCTGTAAACGTATATCCTAGTTTCCTGAATGGTTGTGTAAATTATGAATCAATGATAGGTTTGAACACTGCACAGCAGCTTATAATTCAATTACACACCCAAACTATCCCAGCTTGCGATGCACGGCCTTACTGACAACCCCTGGAAAGTATTCCGTCTTTATAACCAAAGGTATTTAAGGTCGCATATGCTATCAATGACTATAGAATTCATTGTAAAGAAATTATTCGGCGATGTCATTCCCGGTATTGAATATCAGTATTTCAATTGATGGTGGAAGTGTGAGGTATGTTGATCAGGCTTGCCCTTGTAACCGGCCACGTGCGCGTGAACGACAGACTCTAAATTATTCACTATTAAATCATTTCACAAATCCTTTGATATTCATCTATGTGTCAGCCTAGTGTGTCATGTGATTATTTATTTGCATTTATTACAAATAAGAATTGCACTTTCACCAAACGTCAAAGTCTTCCCAAGAAAATATCATTCAGGCGAAAAAGTCAAATGAACGGTACTTTTGTAATTATTACCGTCCCATGTATGTGTAAGACGTGACAACCTTTCGTTTGTATGTTATGGCAAAACATCTTAAACATATTAGGATGGGAAGATTTCCAAGAATTAATTAATTCAATATATTATAAATTGAAATAGAAATAGAATCTCAACTTTCATCCTTGTGCTAGCACGAAAACCTGAAGCTGGCTGATGACTGTATTATGGATGAAGTACATGAACTTTAAGGATGGTCCTTGAGGCGGTTAAATCTGTTTGAGCACCGTATGAACTCTATACTATATCATATATACATTACACATACAGAAGCTCACCCAGCCCCCAGCGTGCACGTTTGAAACTGTACACAGTGGCTCGGGCCGCCGTCGACACGTGTTTCGTCTTCCCCTGATGCAAGGTATTGTAATGGGTTGTGGACAAGTGACTTTATGGCCAACTTTGTGTTGATGACGCGTGGCGCGCGCGACAGCCTGTGGTGACAGGTACGTGCCGTCAAGTATTGGCGTGAGAAAGCCGGGGCTCACAATAGCGCCATCCCAAGTGTTTACAACCGCTCTGCATGTAGATAACAACATTGATCTAACTGCCCCGTTCTCTTGATATTAGTCACAGGAATATCTCCTTCTCAATGGAATTAAACGTTATCTGTGTAGTCCATGGGTAAAACATTCAGAAACCTTGCATTATCTTCAAAGCTAGAGAATATAAATGCGCAAGATTAACTCCCCACACAAACAGTGGCTCGAGTTAAAACGTACTGTGTGGTCGTATTAAAATAGTATATGGTTTGTCAACTGGGAATGTTATCTTACTGTTTATAAATAAATAATGGAACTTACACGAAATTAATCATTCAAAACACAGTAGGTGTTTTTGATGGTGTTGGTCTTTCCAATATTCCTAAAGTGCTACACCGAATTGTTAACGCGATAAAGGTGTTCTTTTGACGAATTCTCCATAGAAGGTTTGAAAACAACATGGAGGAGATAGCGGCGATTTCAAAATGTTTAATATTCTACAAATGCTTATTATTTGATCATAGAAAAATCTTTGGATATGCTGGTGACTGTTGTATACAAATACACTGTTTTAAGCTTGTAGTATTTAGATTTCAGAAATCTCAGTGTTCACAATTTGTTAATAATTTGATGAATATTTTAAAAGAAACTGTATTTTCGTTCTTTTTTAATGTTGTAAAACGATGAGTTTGTCTGACGTTTATTCTTCAAATTCTCGAATCCCTCTTTGAATTTGAATACAAATCATAATTAATTACAAATAATTGATGTATTACCCAACCTACCCGTCTGCCCTGTGTCGGCACCGGGCTGAACCACATATACTAGTGACGAGAAGTTAAAGAAGATCCCAATATTTCACGAGACCATAGTTAATCTGTCATGGGATGTCATGGGTTGTCATGACAGATTATCTATAGCCATATGAAACATCAGTAGTAAGCATTACGACGACGACGACGACGTCCACACCGCTGGTGTTGATACCCAGGTGGAATACCCTGTTATTCAGTATATGTGATGATATTGTTGTTAGCCAACCTTTAGTGGTACTATGTCAGGTTATCCTATCCACGTTATGAAATCACGTTCTACATGACAAGAGTGTCTTTTTTATTATTATTAATCTATTTCTCGAACGATTTTGTCTAGCCAGTCTGATTAGTAGAGAATGCACTTATAACCCATGAAATATGATACTGGCTTTTCAGTGACATCAACAAATTAACATCTTCTTTAAAATTGGGGGAAAAAGAACTTTTATCCAGGTGTTTTAGCTTTTCGTTGCTTTAATCTTGAAAAAGAAATGTGTTGTTTTGTGCTTGGTTTAATATCATCATTGTAAACTCATCTGTTCAAGGTAATTTAGTGTCTCATCGAGCAGTGTAAAAATCTGGAATTTCCAGATTAAATCCGAAATGTGCCTGTGGGCTGAAGAAAAGATAGCATCTTCGATTAGCGAAATCGGCCTGAATATTGGTATGATGAATTAATTTGTTTGATAACAGAAGTGATGTCTTATTTTAGTTTCGTTGTTTGGTTGATTTAATTTCGACTTATGAAACAGAACTAATGAATTTGTTTCGTATCCTCTGAGCGCTGGATATGGGTGATGGATGATGTCGGTCCGTCCATCACGGCCAAACATTACTTACAACCAGCTGCCCGCCACCAGGTCACATTAAGGACGAGGTTACATCATTCCTTTGTTTGGTCCTCTATTATTAAGCAGACGTTCATCAGCAGACATGTTGTTCTCAGTGTTTTCTCTCTCTGGCGAGCCCGTTGGTTGAAACACGAACCACGTGGTCAGTGAAGGGTCAGGCTGACCATCGCCGTGGGAATCTCCTGTACCTACATCCATTCATGAATACTACACAGGGTCAAGGTCGTTGTCACGTTTCGCTCATTGACTACCATATGTTGATAGTGAAGTCGATGGAGAAGAGAACGGTATTTATATAGAACGGAACCTCTCTAGACCCAAACTCCGGCGACAGTTTGCACACAACATTATTGAACTTTATCTACCTTCATGTATATACACAGTCACTATGACTGTCGACAAATAGTTACAACCTCCCTCGTATTAATTGATAACTGTTTAAATATTAAACTCTTCACAAGATATTACATCATATCCCATTCTAAGTATTAATGGACGAAGAATGATTAATATTGCTGGACGGATCATTTTGTGGAGACAGCCAACATTTCATCCTGATTTGATTTGTTGTATTTAAAAAGGTCTCTCTCCACCGAGATCCCGATTGTGGAACAGATAACTAGCTATAGGTGTTGGCGATTAATCAACTGTGAGCTTGTTGCTGTTGTACTTCAGAATTACCTCGCGTTTATATTGCATGTACCAGTGAAACTCAGGCTTAGTCGTCAGTATAACTCATACTTGTCGTTAGAGGCGACTGGCCGGGTTGGATGGTCAGGCTCGCTGACTTGGTTGACATGTCATCGTATCCCAGTTGTCTGGATTGTCTGGTCCAGACTTGATTATTAACAGACCGCCGCTATATAGCTGGAATATTGCTGAGCGCGGCGTAAACAACCAACAGAACAGAACCATGCCAGCAAATGTACCATAGAGTTGATGTTTTACATGGTAATAAATATGACTGTTCATTAGACTACCTTTGTTTGTGATCCAACGCATGCACATTGCGGAGAAAAAAGCAAATACGAGCGATGCTTTTTACTTCAGTGACGTCACTTTCTTGAATCATTTCCTTTGATAACGGCGCGTTTTGGCATTATGACGTCACAGCACGTGCGTAAGGCGGATAGTACATATGAGACGAATGTCAATAGGTATTATTTACCTCAAGGGATTTGCCGTGTGTTGTGATCTGTCTAATATAGACACATAAACAAACTAAACATTTCCCCAGTCTGTGCATGAATACGCGTGCCGCCTCGCGTGTGCGTAGATACGCGTGCCATCTCACGTGCGCGTCGATGCAAGGGGCCGCATTCTTGGAACACCGATGCATGTCAAACTGCACAAGTCCGAGCTGGGGGAATGTTTCCAAACACAAACCAAAAAACTACTCTCTTTTGTATTTCCCAGGGATATTATCTTACATTGAGCCGTGATTACCTACCTCTGGAGGCAGATGCCGCTGATTACAGCCAGGGGGAGCCTTGGCGCGTGCAGGCACGTGCACTGGGAGATAAGTGACAGTGAGCACACATTACAGCAATTCCGAGCAGACCGAATCGCCTCGTTGTTTATCTTACTGGTGTAGGACCTGTACGTAGATTTCAATAGTAATACACAAGTAATGCATTCCTTCAACATCACACGTACTTCAATAAATACATACACTTCAATAGTATGCACGCTCGAGTAATACATCCATTCAACATGTATTTCATTAAATACATACACTTCAATAGTATGCACACTCAAGTAATACATTTATTCAGCATTACATGTAATTCAGTAGTACATTCATTTCAACACCGCATATATTTCCGTAGTGCAGTCAATTAAACACCACATGCATCTTATTTTTCCATACACGAGAATGTTGCATACACGACATTTGTGAAATAAAG